AATTTGTACAAATTCGTACGAGTGATTAAAAAGTGGCTAATTCGTACTAATTCATACGACCTCACTCATACGATTTGTCCAAACCCACGTGATGGGTAGGTTTAGTGGCGGGGTCAGGGGTAGGTAATTTGTACGAATTAGTACGAATTGGCCAATTCGTAAAATATGTACGATTTAGCAAAAATCGTACGAGTGAGGTCATACGAATTGTTACGAATTAGCCACCTCGTAAAATTCGTACGAATCCCCGTGAGATCGACTTGGGTTTATTGATGTAATGTTACATATGGTAAAAAGTCTGTAAAACCTAAAATGTTACCGTATTTTTAACAGGAAAATGCTGGCAACCACAGCTGACAGTTTTTTCCCCGTAAATTTAACAGATTTTTTTTTACAGTGTATTGTTTATATATATTGTAATACATTAATTGATGTAGTATAATAAATTCTACAGATTACAAAAATACAGTTGTAAACTATGAAAAAGCAACAAGAAATGTTATCTAATAATCTTAAATATCGCTCTAAGGCCTTCACCGCTGATTTGCACTCACAAGACACCGAACTGCACCCGATTCATAACAAGTGTCACATACAGTGATATTCAGCGAGTGGAAAGTGAGTATTCCTCTGTGAACTGTCTGTGCAAGACACTATTCATCAGCGCACGGGTCACTCTGGCGGAGGTCTGTCAGGGGAAGCCCATATGCTGATATGAGCTTAATAAGCATCATTACCCCCACATTTTCTAAATGAGTTTTGTTTCGCACAACAAGGAAAGAATGCAGTTCATCAGCTTCTTTATGAGGCCATCAAATCATAAGGAATCATTAGATGGGTTTTTATGCGTATACTCTGCTTTGGGAGGTCTAACTACCATATTGGATTGGATGGGCACAGTATATTTTGGTTAAAAAAATACATGCAGAAAGCGATTATTACTGAAAATTGATGAATTTGCATTAAACACATTTTCTTCAGGGGTAAAGCAAATGGCCGAGGTCATCATCTACCGAGTCATTTACATGCCATTAGGAATAAAGAGGCTCGTGAATTGATCCTTTACAAGTTGGTCTTGCATGTTAAAATGTTTGAATATGAAATGAGGTCAAAACGGTGCACATCATCACCATTTAACCAACTGTGTCCCAGAGATAATTCCCACCGCAAGTAAACCTTTGAGCAAATATGGCATGCTTATATAAAATGATATGATTAGAGATTGAGCTTTATCTACAAAAACAGACTAAATAAACTGTATATTGAATCTGACTTGCTGACAAACGTTATGTTCATTTTCTGTAACGGTTCCAAATTTGTTGACTGCATTTCCATATTATTCCTAGTTTGAAATTATCGGAACATCACAGCTAGCATAACTACACATTTGATAATGCATTTACTTAGAAAAATGGGGAATACAATGCAATTTTGTCGGGATGCCAAATAACAAGAAAACTTTTCAGACCCTTCACTCTCAGAAAAAAAGGTACAAAAGCTGTCCCTGGGGCTGTACCTTTTCAAAAGTAACTAAAGGGTGCATTTTGGTACCTTATTAGCACCTAAAAATTTACATATTAGCACCTAAAATGTACATATTAGCACATAAATGTCCACATTAGCCCCTAAAATGTACATATTAATACCTAAAAAATTACATGTTAGCACCTAAAATGTACATTTTAGCACATAAATGTCCATATTAGCACCTAAAATGTACATATTAGCACCTACAAATTTACACATTAGCACCTAAAATGTGCATATAAGCACCTAAATGTCCAAATCAGTACCTAAAATGTACATATTAGCACCTAAATGTCCAAATTAGCACCTAAAATGTACATATTAGCATCTAAATGTCCATATTAACACCTAAAATGTACATATTAGCACCCAAATGTCCATATTAGCACCTAAAATGTACATATTAGCACCTAAAATGGACATATTAGCACCTAAATGTCCATATTAGAACCTAAAATGTACATATTAGCACCCAAACATTTACATATTAGCACCTAAAATGTACATATAGCACCTACATTTCCATGTTAGCACCTAAAATGTACATATTAGTACCTAATATGGACAAAAGTTTTCCCTTTTGAAAAGGTACAGCCCCAGTGATGGCTTTTGTACCTTTTTTTCTGAGAGTGTTGGTTGGACTTAATATGCAGTTTCCCAGCATAGAAATCAGTCTTTCCACTTCCGAATTGCTCTAAACACAATCATCTGTTCTCCAAGTGTGGAAGCAGACGTGTTTGGTTCCCTTTACCAGCCTAACTGTGCATCTGATGTTCAAAACCCAGTGCCCCAGCGTCCGTACTGCGCCTGCTGAAACACGATTACGCACCATCTGATTCAAGCGGTGTCTGTTTCTTTTACGTTACCAGATGAAATAATCCAATAAGAGTCTTGTGAGAAGCACTCTCGCTCAGGTTATGACTCCCTCTGCGAAAGTCCCGCGGTTCAAAGTTGGACCCGCATTAATATTCCACCGGTGCCCGTGCCAGTCTAAAAGATTCAATAGATGCTCAAAGAGCAGTGAACAGAACCCCTAGTGTTTCTGTCAAGTTCGCGTGTCTGCTCGCCTGCCACAAATTCTTGGGCACCGGCGTCTGGATCTTTGAAGATAACAGTCTTAATAAACATGCTCTGCAATTACTGTGAGGCAGACGGAGCCGAGAGAAGGAGAGAAAGAGAGAGACAGAGCAGCGAGGACAGGGATTAGGTCAGATCTCACTGAAGTCTAAATTGATGAGCTGTGGTCTTCAAAAGAAAAACTTGATACTGATCCTGCAATGACTCCTGAAAGCCTGCAGCTGTGTCTTACACAAACACGAAACATCGTGCCAACCTTTCCCTGCTAGTCAACTGAGCTGTTTTAACTCATCATGGGACATATACTAGCAACAATAAACCATTAAATACCAACAGTGGATATATATATATATATATATATATATATATATATATATATATATATATAATAGCTTTTGTATAGTGTGTTAAACATGTTAAACAGCAAGCATTAATAGCAAAAATGAATGTGTTATTTTTACCCACCCTACTTAACCATTAGTTATATACTGTATTGAATCATTGTGGTTTTCATCTGGTGGACAACACACTAGCAACAACCTAAAAATGCATTTTAAAAAACCATATCAACACACCAATAACAAACCACATCTAGTGTTGTAGCGTTGCACACGCAACCAAACATTTTCTTCAAAGAATGTAAATTTCAAAAGTTGAAATCTAAGTTGAAAGCTGTCAGTGTCCATACAAGTGCAAAAAAAGAGGACCGTTTATAAACCGGTTTCTCCAACACTTTTCCCCAGTCTGCTATTGGTCAGACCACACACACACCGGACCTCATTGGTTGAGCTGTTGCTATAATCAACCTGATTGGATGCTTAAAAGAGTAGTTCACTTTTAGAAGAAAAAAAGAAAGTTTGCTGATAATTTACTCACCCCCACGTCATCCAAGATGTCCATGTCTTTCTTTCTTCAGTCGAAAAGAAATTAAGGTTTTTGATGAAAACATTCCAGGATTTTTCTCCATATAATGGACTTCAATGGGAACCAAACGGTTCAAGGTCCAAAAGACAGTTTCAGTGCGAACTGCAAACTGTTCAAAGGGCTTTAAATGACACCAGACGATGAATAAGGGTCTTATCAAGCGAAACAATCGCTCTTTTAATAAATAAATAACAAATTTTACGTTTTATTAGCTCAAATGCTCGCCTTGCTCTGTTCTGTAATGTGCGTTCGTGACTCTCCTGTTCGAACTCGTTCATCAAAATGAACGAATCTTTTCCAGAGTCAACTCGTTCATTTCGTTCGTTGAATGAACCAAATGACATGAAAAAGGATTTGTTCATTTTGATGAACGAGTTCGAACAGGAGAGTCACGAACGCGCATCACAGAACAGAGCAAGGCGACAATTTGAGCTTATAAAACATAAACTTTGTTATTTTTTTTACTTTTTTATTTATAAACTTTGTTCCCACTGAAGTCCATTATATGGAGAAAAATGCTGGAACGTTTTCATCAAAAACCTTAATTTCTTTTCGACTGAAGAAAGAAAGACATGGACATCTTGGATGACATGGGGGTGAGTAAATTATCAGCAAAAGTTATTTTTAAAGTGAACTAGTCCTTTAAAGCAGCACTAAGTAAGATTTTTTACCTTAAAATAATGTTTTTGAAATCGTTTCAGTGGTTCATCATGTCGTGAGATGGTGAAATGCACTTATACCAGCGCTTTGCGGTCCTTTATCTGATATATCCACTCTATGTAAGATTGCCAGATCGGGTCGCGTTTCTGTAGTCCGAATGAGACCTAAGAAAACTACAAATATGACCTGCGTTATGGCAAGCGTTACGATTGCCGATACGTGGAGTGCACTCGACAGTAGACAACAACTACATGTAAGATCCCTAGCAGCCGGGTAGCTTTTGAACTGTCATCGTGATTCCAAAACCGGTGCCAGATAAACAGAGTGTGTGTGACGGTAGGATGAGCTAGGCTAAATTATTTACGACAATTCCGCTTCCAACCTGTAGGGCGACCGCAGAGGAAAAGTTACTTGGTGTTGCTTTAAACTAATAACAATGTGTTGATAGTGCCACAGTGCTTGCACCCTTCATGAATGACTTATAGTTGACGCAAAATATAAATCTAGGATAAGGGAAAGTATTTTAACTTTGGAAAAACATACACACATCACCTTTATTATTGCTCTAAAAAACAACAACAACCCGAGACCTTCATTGCCTGTAAATCATTTAGTCTATTCTTTGACTGCTCTTTGAATACTTTTTCTCATATATGTGCATCTCTGTCTGTTGATTCTTCACAGGTGATAAAGTACTAAATATTTCATACAAAGCTCACACACTCACAGGATACACAGAGACTTAGAGGTGCTTTCTCTCCCCTTATTGAACTTCTTCAATAATTCATAGGCCGATGTGAATGATGCCATACCTCTGGTCATGACGATGCCCGCAAGGCCTTTATGGCGCGCGTGCAGAAGTGAGGAGCAGCCGGCCAGCTCTGTGTATTTCTCTCGCACCAGCTGGAAGATCGCGTCAGCAAACTCCTGCAATACACAACCAGTTTTTGGTAAGTTTGATTCCTTATTAAAAAATGTTCATATGGATGATGTGTTAGTGTTCATGCAGCATATTGCACTGCACAGAAATTAAAACATTAGCAGTAACTTTCAAAAACAATTGAAATTTGCAAACATCAATTTTCCAGATCATCTCCAGGTTATCTAAACTCAAATGTGAATGCATTTGAAAAAGAAAAAAAAAAAGAGAAAATCCATATCTGAAACAAATTTCAATTTCTTTTTTGTTTTAAATTCCTTATTTTCAAAGTATATTTTATACATCAAACTCAAATGTGAATGCATTTGAAAAAATATATTATTTCCTTAAAAAAATGAAAATAAATATCTGAAACAAATTTTAATTTCATTTTTTTGTTTTAAATTCCTTCTTATTTTCAAAGTATATTTTATACATCAAACTCAAATGTGAATGCATTTTAAAAAGTATATTATTTCCGTGAAAAAAATTTAAATCCATATCTGAAACAAATTAAAATGTATTTTTTTTATATTCCTTCTTATTTTCAAAGTATTTTATACATCAAACTCAAATGTGAATGCGCTTGAAAAAAACATTATTTCCTTGAAAAAAAATGAAAATCCATAACTGAAAAAAAATTCAATTTCTTTTTTTGTTTTAAATTCCTTCTTATTTTCAAAGTATATTTTATACATCAAACTCAAATGTGAACACATTTGAAAAAAATATATTATTTCCTTGAAAATAACATGAAAATCCATATCTGAAACAAATTTCAATTTCATTTTATTTAGTTTTAAATTACTTCTTATTTTCAAATGTAATAAAAAGATATCAACAAATGTTTTATGACATGTCTAAATATTTGAATGTACTGCAAAGTATTAATAACATTAAATGTTAACATCGGACCATATTATTTGATAGGGCAATGTTACTGCAACAAAACTTGGATTAGAAATAACTTGACTTTATTCAGACATGATATTGCATAATAGAGTTTTTCACAGGCCATAAATTATATATATGAAGCATTTTTCATTGCAAATCAATTAAATTCAGCGAATAGATTTGCTATTCCATGATCACACGATGACTTTGCCCGTAGCACTTTTCCCCCGTCACACCAACATGGTGACCCAATTAATTTGTGTCAAAACATCGGCCATCAATAGAGTAATTGGAAGGCGAAGAGACCACGGGCGTGCTTATAGTCAGACGTTTATCTGAGACACTTTCGCTAATGGAACAGCGTGATTAGTTTGGTGGCGTCTCAAATGGACCATCTGTCCATCGCTCTGAGCTCAGAGTTGAGGCCGCCAGCCTGAAAAATAACCTGGATCCTGTGTTTGCATTCAACAGACGGGCTTCGGCCCATCCCTGCACAGCTGTTCCCGAACCTGTGCGTTTACACTTTTCATACCAAGTCCACAACGGATGCTATTATGTTACTGTGGCAATTACATACACACACAGATGCACCTCTTTACTGAGGATGTTCACAGTATGTAGCGCTGATGAACTGATTGAAACACAACAGGATTGTGCCTGCTTATGGACCCTCTCGAAGTGTTTGGCATGGTAATGGGTAATGTTAATATGTTTTGGCAGAATAGATCTACTATGCTGCTACTGCAGAGTATGGGATTTGCTACTGCCAATGCACACACACGACACATTGCTCTGAGCACGCAAGACACACTGCTGCAGTATAATATACACTCAAAAAGGTACAAAAGCTGTCACTGGGGCTGTAGCTTTTCAAAAGGTAAACTTTTGTCCATTTTAGGTGCTAATATGTACATTTCAGGAGCTAATATGTACACTTTAGGTGTTAATATGTACATTTAGGTGTTAATATGTACATTTCAGGTGCTAATATGTACACTTTAGGTGTTAATATGTACATTTAGGTGTTAATATGTACATTTCAGGTGCTAATATGTACACTTTAGGTGTTAATATGTACATTTAGGTGTTAATATGTACATTTCAGGTGCTAATATGTACACTTTAGGTGTTAATATGTACACTTTAGGTGCTAATATGTACATTTAGGTGTTAATATGTACATTTTAGATGCTAATATGTACATTTTAGGTGTTAATAAGTAGCCTACAGTTTAGGTGTTAATAAGTTCATTTTAGGAGTTAATATGTACATTTTAGGTGCTAATATGTACATTTTAAGTGCTAATATGTACATTTTAGGTGCTAATTTGTACATTTTATGTGCTAATATGTACATTTTAGGGGCTAATTTGTACATTTTAGGTGCTAATATGTACATTTTAGGTGTTAATATGTACATTTTAAGTGTTAATATGTACATTTTAGGTGCTAATTTGTACATTTTATGTGCTAATAATATGTACATTTTATGTGTTAATAAGTACATTTTAGGTGTTAATAAGTATTGTAGGTGTTAATATGTACATTTTCAGTGTTAATATGTACATTTTAGGTGCTAATAAGTACATTTTAGGTGTTAATAAGTACATTTTAGGTGCTAATATGTATATTTTTAGGTGTTAATATGTACATTTTAGGTGCTAATTTGTACATTTTAGGTGCTGATCTGTACATTTTAGGTGCTAATTTGTACATTTTAGGTGCTAATATATACATTTCAGGTGCTAATCTACATTTTATGTGCTAATATGTACATTTTAGGTGCTAATCTGTACATTTTAGGTGCTAATTTGTACATTTTAGGTGCTAATATATACATATCAGGTGCTAATCTACATTTTAGGTGCTAATATGTAAATTTTAGGTGTTAATATGTACATTTTAGGTGCTAATAAGTACGTTTTATGAGGTAATATGTAAATTTTAGGCACTAATATGTACATTTTAGGTGATAATATGTACCACTAAGGTACCAATATGTGTAGCATACATGAATTACCTGTAGCAGATCTATACAGGTGGAGCTGGGGAAGCTGGATGGTTTCTGAAAGAGTGCTGCACTGCTATAGCAAATGCTGACCGAGTATTTAAAGGTTGAGAAGCGATCTCATTGGCTACTGATACAGCAGGAACCAATCAGCTGTGCTCTATTGAGAATGATGTGATTGAGCAGATTGAGTTAAGGACCTGTCAGCCTGCGCAATCTATAGTTTCATGACAGAACTTTGTATTTAGCAGAAAAACACTTAAATATACATGCTGTTTTATATGCATTTATATGTAAATAGTCACTCACTGATACATGGCCAACTGTAATTATGAAAAAAAAATCGGTAACACTTTACTTGAAGGGGTGTGCATAAGACTGACACCTTCATTTACAAGAATTACACCTTCATAACCATGACATGACACATGTCTTGAATATATAGAGTAGGGTTTATGCATGTTTATGACGACTGTCCTTAAGTCCTTTTGCTCAATAATGACATTTTGAATGCAAATATAACATTAAGATGTCTTTGTTATGACATCTTGACATAAACCAATACATCATAACCTGTCAGTGTCTTTGTCATGACAACTTGACATTAAATTAACTTAAACTGTCATGTGGTTGGCTTTGACATTGGCTGTCATGAGGCATTATAACGGTGTCATGAATATTTTTGTGACCTCAACTACAGTGGTACTAATTGAATTTGTCATTAAAAAGTTATAATGGCTTCATGACAATGTCAAAACCAGCCACATGACAGTTTAACGTAATGTTAACCAATAAAGCTAGGTGCTCTCTTAAGTTTGATCATTAATCTGCTATGTCATGTTTATGACATGTTGTGTTGTCTTAGTAATGTCAAGTTGTCATGACAAAGACACTGACAGGTTATGATGTATTAGTTTATGTCAAGGTGTCATAACAAAGACATCTCAAACAATGTCATATTTGCATTAAAATGTCATAACTGAGCGAATGACACTTAATGACTCTTGTCACAAACATGCAAAAAACATATAACATATGTCATGTCATGATTATGAAGGTGTCATATTAGTCTTATGCACACCCCTTCAAGTAAAGTGGTACCAAAATATCAATGAAATCTGTATTTTATGATTTCAAATAAATTTTAATTATAGAAAGTTTTTTTTTTTTTAGAAACAGTCCATTGTGGTATTAAATATATATATGTGTGTGTGTGTGCTACATGAAAACTAATGAATACTAACAAGATCACACTGAAAAACAGCATATATTGACCTTCAAATGCAAAACACAGTAATACCAACACCAGAACTGATGAAAAATGGCTTCTTTCGTATTTAATTTTAATTGGTTTTGTATTAATTTTCACACTCCATTTGGGGAATTAACTGATCAAAGGTTCAAATATTTCTATCTCAATATTTCTACCTCAGTTTAATGTTCAGTAACAACTGTAAGAAATCAAATACCAATGTATTTCAGTTGTATGCAGCAACAAAACTCTCTGGAAAAGTGCCATACTGTATCACCTAATCATATGAACAAAATGATGGTGTCATCATTAATCTGGTCGGGTAGCCAGCAGAAAACACACAGTAAAGTGCTCCTTTACTCTAGCTTGAGCTTGCCAAACCAGCAGACATATTTAAATGCCTCTCAGTGGTAATTAAACACTAATCCCAATGTCACCTCAATAAAACATCTTTTATTGGTGACATTAAAAGGATTAAGAGGGATGCCAAACATTTCCACACTTCAAAGACAGAGGCGTGAGCTATCATTGGACTGACGCCAGAGTTCAGTGATGGTGCTCATATGCCATAGATGAGCCTTCATGATCCAACATTCACCTCTCGTGAGAAGGAATTAGGAAAAACAGATACATTTTTACGTTAATCTTGCTGTCATTATACTAGCATCAAATGAATGGTTACCAGGGTGTTGCTATGTAGTTTTTTTTAGGAGTAGTTTCTTATCGATCATGTCTGTAGTAATGGGACAAAGAGTAATACTACTTTAAATGGCAATGAAGACTACCTATTAATTGTCATTTAAGTGAAATTACTGAACTTAAATATACAAGCTTGAAAAAAATGATCATTCTAGA